TATTTAGATTTTTGGGGTTATGAAAACCTCCCTTAAAGGTGGGGTAGGTCATTTTGGAGAAACCAGATATTCATTGCTATCGGGATGTTCAGAGCATTCCATAGAATATAACAAAAAGTGTATCTCGAGCCGGTTTCTCAAACTTACCTACCCCACCTTTAAAGTCTTTTTGAGAGGCAGGGAGTCAGGTCATCCCGTAACCAATCCACATCACTTCCAAATGTATCTGATCATTTCCAATTGCAAAAGGCTTTATTTACAAGCTATCGCACGCCATTCTCCACCACTAAGTCACTAAGTAGACATTTTCCAAAAGAGCCTTTTGATCCAGCTGCTTCCCTTCCCTTTCCACTCGTCATGTCCTCATCCATTGATTCACTCAGCAGTAAAGCGTCTGGATAACGGGTCAAACATCCCAACAACCAACCAGCGCTTCATTCACTCTGCAGTTTATAGACTGAAGGCCAAACGCTAATCTGCTGATTGAACACTTGAAGACAAAGGTTATCACAGAACAGATTTAGTTAACGCAGCGAGGCGAAAGATCTCTGCAGAGCAAACTGATCTAATCACTAACATGGGTAAGTTGATTATAGGAGAGGAGAGGAGGGTAGAGGAGAGAGGAGAGGAGGGGAGAGGAGATGAGATGAGAGGAGAGGAGATGAGAGAGGAGATGAGAGGAGAGAGAGAGGAGAGGAGAGGAAAGGAGAGGAAATTAGTTGAAAGGAAAGGAGAAGAGAAGAGAAGGAAGAAGAGGACATTAAAGGAAAGGAGAAGAAAGGGAAGGGTAAGCAAGGAAAGGAAAGGAGAAAAGAGGAAAGGAAGAGGAAATGAAAGAAGAAGAGAGGAGAAGAGAAGAGAGGAAAGGAAAGGAGAACATTTTGTAGGCAAATGTTACTTACTACTCTGCAGATAATAATTTTTAAGTCCAAATATAAATCAACTGATTAATAATGATACGAAGTCATTAAATAAACCCCACCTTTACTTAGTGCGTTAATTAAGTGAGGCACAGCGCATTACTTTGAATACAATAATGTAATACAAATATGACTCTAAATGGGTCATACTTGAGTACAATATTGAATGAGTACTTGTAAGAGAGTATTTTCCCACTGCAGTATTACTACCTTTACATCAGTGGAACATCAGAGTACTTCTTGCACCTCAGGATGAAGCAGAGCCGTTTCAGACAGAAGAGAATCCAGTGGAACAAAGCGGAGCCGGTGTATAAAAGCAGACCAGAGGGGAACAAGTGAGAGAGGACAGAGAGGAACATGGCGGAGCGTCTTAGAGTAAAGAGACGAAGAAGAAACCACAGTAGGGTTGAGTAGAAGACGCCAGAAGAACAGGGGAATTGCATTCTGGGACAACAGCTGCTGCCATAAACTCCAGGTTATCTCAGAGCCGAACAAACAGACGAGTTGAAATGACATCTGAGGAGTTTATTGGAACGGACAACAAAGCGTTGAGTACAGGATGCAGTTAGACTCGGAGCATGAACGGAAACATGACACATCCAACAAGGTGTGTTTCTACAGGCTCTGTTTCTGCTGCAAGAGGGCGAATGTGCAAATTACTTTTTCTGTAATGGCTGATTGAAGTAAGCAAGGGAGTCTGTCTGTTTGGCGTTTTTTGGGGGCTTTTAACCAAGAAGATAAAATACAAAGAATTATACTTAAAACCGACTGAACTCAAATCGACACCAACAAAAAACAAAGCAGCAGGAGTATTTACAACCTTGTGCGTTTTTTCCAAATGTTAAAACGTATTCAGTTATATGTGTTACCCCCATATATAACACTTTACATACGATTTGGTTTAGCTGATGCTTGTATCCAAAGTGCATTCAACCATGAAGAAACTCGAAAGAAATAATCCTGCAGGTTCATTTCCTATCTATAAGCCCAACCAGATGTAGTGCTACTGCATTAGCTTCACATAGAGACAATCCCTTTGTAAGTGCTATACGTACAGAAGAGAGATTTAAGTGTCATTTTTCTTTTTTTAATGGCCAAGGATGAATCAAAACAGGCGATTTGTTTTTGTCTGCCACGGAAGATGTGTAGACTTTGATGCCTGACTTTCCATTTTGGGACCGGGATAGCAAATCTGATTGGCCGATCAAAAGCAAAGTGCCCTTGCGTGAGTGTATGGTTAACCATTCCTCTTATAGATAATGCTATTGGGAACTAGTCCCTTACAAACTCATCACATGTGGTCATCTCTCCAAAGGCATAATGGACATCAGTATTTCAAAACCAAGCTAAAATAGTGTATATATATGTCGACTTAATACAAGTGTGAGTCAGTGCGAGAATATGTATGTCTTTGTGAGCGCTGCTTTTCAAACCCTTTCATACCTATACACACATATGGCCTTCTCTTTAGCACAATGAAAACTACACACAGCTACATCTAACACATGCAGGGTGGCCGAGGGTATAAACGGCCCCTGAACGCATCACAATGCCGAGCTCTGCAGCGCGACAGGGGCCACTGTTCCTCGACTCAAACGCCATTGGGACCAATTAGGCATCGAGCAGAGCGACGCCGCGCTGCACAACCAGTTCAAAAGACCTGCTGCTGAGACGGACAGCTGGGGGGGGGGGGGGGTCTCCTGGAGGATGAGGGCATGAGAAGGGGTGTGTGTGTGTGTGTGTGTGTGTGTGTGTGTGTGTGTGTGTATGTGTGTGTGTGTAGGGTATTATTACAGAGGGGCGATGATCACAGTGCAAGGGATGAAAGGTGCATGTGTTTTGAGTGTGTGCCAGCATCTAGACACCAAAGCTGTTGTGCAGTGACACTACTGATGTGCAATATGTACTTTCTTTTACATTTTAACATTGTTATTACTGACTGAACAAAGCACATTCTGCTCAGTGTAGAAATACTATGGTACAAATAAAAAGTCTGGCTTCAAAATTGTTAAGCCTTTTAGTTCTGGCAATTGAATGTATGCCTCAACAATTATAAAAGTGGTGTTAATTTCTCAAAATGTTCCTGCTGAACCAGACGTGTATGTATCACTTATAGGAAGTCGATTTGGACCAAAGTGTGAGCTAAATGCAATTAATTATAATATCAGAAATGTTTGTTTGCCCCATTTTCTGACATATTCCAAAGTCCAATGGTAAACTCCCATTGGCTTTTTGTAGAGGAAGCGCTTGTGAAGCTAACTTCCCGAGTCAGCCGACAAAAATACATAATCACTGTACCCCTCAACACCTAGCCTTCAGAGATGGCAAAAGTACACACATCCTTTACTCAAGTAGAAGTACAGATACTCGTGTTTAAAAATACTCTGGTAAAAGTAGAAGTACTCACTAAACTTCTTTACTCAAGTAAAAGTAAAGAGGGCTTTGAAATGTACTGAAGTAAAAAGTACCCATAACTAGCAGCTGTTTTAAAGAGTACCTGACCTCCCTTTATATTAATAGAACAATAATGTCATTGTTAGCTAATGAATGTTTCCATGCTGAACAACGGCAACATGACAACGTTTTCATTGGTCCCTCTTCTTTAGAGAAGACCAGGAAATGATGGATACACGGATCGTGTTCAAATCAATAGGCACGCAATGACTCTAAATAATAATGATCACGCCACCAAACACACATTCAAACTAAAGGAACCAGCCTGTTTGGGAAATGTGAGAAGTAGAAAGTTCAGGTATTTGGGTTCAACATGTAAGAAGTAGAAAGTACAGGTATTTGTGTTCAAAGTGTAAGAAGTAGAAAGTACAGGTATTTGGGTTCAACATGTAAGAAGTAGAAAGTACAGGTATTTGTGTTCAAAATGTAAGAAGTAGAAAGTACAGGTATTTGTGTTCAAAATGTAAGAAGTAGAAAGTACAGGTATTTGTGTTCAACATGTAAGAAGTAGAAAGTACAGGTATTTGTGTTCAACATGTAGAAGTAGAAAGTACAGGTATTTGTGTTCAAAATGTAAGAAGTAGAAAGTACAGGTATTTGTGTTCAAAATGTAAGAAGTAGAAAGTACAGGTATTTGTGTTCAACATGTAAGAAGTAGAAAGTACAGGTATTTGTGTTGAAAATGTAAGAAGTAGAAAGTACAGGTATTTGTGTTCAAAATGTAAGAAGTAGAAAGTACAGGTATTTGTGTTGAAAATGTAAGAAGTAGAAAGTACAGGTATTTGTGTTGAAAATGTAAGAAGTAGAAAGTACAGGTATTTGTGTTGAAAATGTAAGAAGTAGAAAGTACAGCTATTTGGGTTCAAAATGTAAGAAGTAGAAAGTACAGCTATTTGGGTTCAAAATGTAAGAAGTAGAAAGTACAGGTATTTGTGTTGAAAATGTAAGAAGTAGAAAGTACAGGTATTTGGGTTGAAAATGTAAGAAGTAGAAAGTACAGGTATTTGGGTTCAAAATGTAAGAAGTAGAAAGTACAGGTATTTGTGTTCAAAATGTAAGAAGTAGAAAGTACAGGTATTTGTGTTCAACATGTAAGAAGTAGAAAGTACAGGTATTTGTGTTCAAAATGTAAGAAGTAGAAAGTACAGGTATTTGTGTTCAAAATGTAAGAAGTAGAAAGTACAGGTATTTGTGTTCAACATGTAAGAAGTAGAAAGTACAGGTATTTGTGTTCAAAGTGTAAGAAGTAGAAAGTACAGGTATTTGTGTTCAAAATGTAAGAAGTAGAAAGTACAGGTATTTGTGTTCAAAGTGTAAGAAGTAGAAAGTACAGGTATTTGTGTTCAAAATGTAAGAAGTAGAAAGTACAGGTATTTGTGTTCAAAATGTAAGAAGTAGAAAGTACAGGTATTTGTGTTCAAAATGTAAGAAGTCAAAGTAAAAAGTAGTCAGAAAAATAAGTAGTGGAGTAAAGTACTGATACCAGAAAAATGTACTTAAGTACAGTAACGAAGTATTTGTACTCCACTACTTCCCACCTCTGCTAGACTTATATTGTGTTGAACAAGTGATGTTTCAGAATGGCTCTCAGGAAACATTAAAACATTAACCCCAGCCTCCCCTCACCTGAGCACTTCGTTGGGGTTGCCTGAGATGGGGGTCTTCTTGTCTGGAGCTCCGTGGCACTCGGACTTCAGCAGGGTGTGCGGCCCGCGGTCCATCATCATGGTGGACGTCGCCATGGTGATGATGGCCACGCCGTCACGAACCCGAGCCTCCAGGTTGTAGTCCCACTCGTCGTAGGACACAGAAAGCAGACCTGGGAGGACAAGAGATGAGAGAAGGATTAGAGGAGGTGTGGAATAATGAAAGGTGGCGCGAAGGAGGAGGAACAAGCACCCAGGAAGTGAGCCAGAACATTTCAAGGTTCAAGGTTCAAGGTTCAAGGTTCAATGCTTTTATTGTCATGTGTGCATAGCTACAGTGTAGTTATGACAATGACAATCTTAGGTCACAGGCTCCTCCAACAGTGCAACACAATAAAACAGATAATAGTGCAAGTAAATAAAATAAAATATAATATAGTAGAAATAGTGCAAAATAGTCTATATACAAGTAATTGGAATATTGATATATATAAGTTGCAAACAGATGAATGTTATGGATGTTCTTTCAAAAGTTCAGGTGTTTAACAGTCTAAATTGTGTTGTAGTGATCAAACGGTGGTATTACAACTTCCGGGTCAGTCAATGTGACGTCAATGTACCCAAGAACTTTTTCCCATTGACTTACATTGGGATATTTCAGCATATTACGTTTTTGAGCAAAATCAGATACCCAGTGTGAATACTTGAATGGCCTTTATACATCATTGGGTCCTAAATGTAGTCAAATTAGCTAAAAGCTGAGTTTATTTTTCTCTCCATTCATTCGACTGAGCCGAAAAATATGTGATGCTACCTTGAAGAAGCAAATTGGAGGCGGGGCTTTGTACATGGATTAAAATATTGAATTGAATTAGATATTTTAATCGATTGACATACCTCCAGACTAGGGGTGCATACCGGTTCCCGGTATTACCGAAATACCGGTTACTGGTGGCTACGGTATACCGTACCGAAATCAGATCCGGTTTTTTTCTCCATAAAAGTGAGGCATAATATCCTTAAACTTGTGCCCAAACCGTCGGAATTACGATGTCAATTTCGCAGTGAAACTCCGCAACCAAGTCACTTTTGAAAATCTAAAGTGTGGCTGCATATGACTGCCAGTCTGAATGGTGGGGTCTGTAACCACTGCCAGTCTGAATGGTGGGGTCTGTAACCACTGCAAGAAGTTTATTTCTGGGAAAGGTGGCAACACATCCAACCTCCAACCAATGCTGTCTCGTATGGCAACCAAGTACCTTTGTGTTCAGGGAAGCAGCGTGCCAAGCGAGAGAGTGTTCAGTTTAGCAGGTGATATCCTACGCTGTGAAAGGGCCCGTTTGGATCCAGAGAGCAGATATGCTCATCTTCTTGAAGATGAATGCACAAAACTGAACTGTGATGGGATTTGTTTTCTTTCATCAGGCAAATGTTGATTTTAAGGATGCTATTTGTTTTATGTGCAATGCCGAGATCTCATGATCCTTTATGTGTTCTCTGGTCAGTCGAATCTCAGGTTGAATATTGATTATACTGGTGCTATTTTATTTTTCCATTGACAAGATGTGCTATTCACGCCTGATGGTTGATATAAATGATATTGCAGAATCAGTTTTCTTCATAGATAACTTGTTTTTCATTGTTTGTTCAGTACTAAAAGGTCCAAGTCCCACAATTGAATTTAATATTCATTTGACATGTTAACTATATCATAAAGCGCTTCATGGGAGTAATTGCGGGATGATAAAATGTTTCCCTTATGCAACATGAAAGTATCACGATATGTATCGGTTGAGTATCGGTATCGTTCAGTGGTATCGGTATCGGTATCGGTATCGTAAAAAAGTCAACGATATGCATCCCTACTCCAGACATAAAAAAGAAAAGGTCTTATTCCAAAACATGTAGCTAACTAAGTTTGAATGTATTCATGTATTTACTAAAAGATGGTAATTACTTCAACAATTACGTAACAGTAAGAACAGACCGGTATGGAAGGATTCAGATGGGTAAAGTAAAGAGACGGACAGATGGAGAAAGCTAAAGCCAGGAGCCATGGATAATTCTGTCAGGATATACAGAGCGTACATGTTTTGAACACTATCCAAGAGACAGAACACACACTACGTGATGACTCAGAGAGCATCCTGTCTGTCTGTCTGTCTGTCTGTCTGTCTGTCTGTCTGTCTGTCTGTCTGTCTGTCTGTCTGTCTGTCTATTTATCTATCAACTATCTATCTATCTCTCTCTCTCTCTCTCTCTCTCTCTCTCTCTCTCTATCTATCTATCTATCTATCTATCTATCTATCTATCTATCTATCTGTCTGTCTGTCTATCTGTCTGTCTGTGTGTCCGTCCGCCTGTCTGTCTGTCTGTCTGTCTGTCTGTCTGTCAGTCTGTCTATCTGTCTCTCTGTGTGTGTCACTGTCTCTCTGTCTGTCCGTCCGTCCGTCCGCCCGCCTGACTCTCTGCCTGTCTGTCCGTCCGTCCGCCCGCCTGTCTCTCTGTCTGTCCGTCTGTCCGTCCGTCCGTCCGCCCGCCTGACTCTCTGCCTGTCTGTCCGTCCGTCCGCCCGCCTGTCTCTCTGTCTGTCCGTCCGTCCGTCCGCCCGCCTGCCTGACTCTCTGTCTGTCTGTCTGTCTGTCTGCCTGTCTGTCCGTCCGTCCGCCCGCCTGTCTCTCTGTCTGTCCGTCCGTCCGTCCGCCCGCCTGCCTGACTCTCTGTCTGTCTGTCTCTCTGTCTGTCTGTCTGTCTGTCCGTCCGTCCGCCCGCCCGCCCGCCCGCCTGTCTGTCTGAAGGACTGTCTGTCTCCGTTTGTTGGCCTCTGCTCTGTCTCTACGTCTGTTTATCTGTCCGTCTGTCTGCTATCTATTGACAATCTGTCTGTTTATGGACAATCCTTTGTAGGTTAGGTGACCTTTCACCCCATCCATCAGCTCATTCAACTGTTTGCCAGAAAGCCTGTCTTCCTGAATCAGAAACACGTTGATTGCTAAGAAGGTTTACACATAACGATACGATAACACTCAACAGATCAAGTCTGACGTTTGACTTGCATCACAGCAGCTCCATTTGCAACATCAAACCAGGATAAATATTAAGACACGATACAAGGAAAAACAAACATTTACCGTAACATCACAATCACTGAAGAGCTCATGAACATCAAATGTACTTTTGTCCTGGGATTTAACTCTGTATTTAATTTGAGGATCGTCTGGTGCTTCAGTCTAACTTTATTCACTCGTGGGACCCTGTATCTCCGATTTGATGGTAACAATTCATATCCACTGTTCTGTACATGGTTGGGGTTGGAGATGATGTTAATATGTTGCTATGGTAGGTTGACTTATGGTTTCTCACAGGGTTGACCTACAATCTTTGATCAATTGGTGGAGCAGTTTTGACTTTAAAGAGGTCGACAAACACTTTTACTATGTTTGCAATACATGGACATTTATGTTGTGTATATGGTGCATACATGATAACAGTTAAAGGAGATCAATTGTAAGAAAAGGACCAAAAAATGTAACAATTATAAAAAACTATTTTAAAGAACACAACTATTATAACAACAAAATATAGAGCAATATTTGCGTTAACCCTCCTGTTGTCTTCGGGTCAAATCTGACCGATTTACTACTTTCATAAATCATAACTTTTTTGTTTTACATTCGATTGCATTAAGGCTTTATGATATCCTTCACAGTAGACATTTGAACATATAAAATGGCTGATCACCACTTTCATTGAACTTTGGATGATTTAGTCAACTTTGTAACACCCATGGTGTTCCCGGTCAAAAATGACCGCCATAAAGAAAAGGAATTAGTAACCATCCGGATCAGATAAAACACACACACACACACACACACCACACACACACACACACACACACACACACACACACACACACACACACACACACACACACACACACACACACACACACACACACACACACACACACACACACACACACACACACACACACACACACACACACACACACACACACACACACACACACACACACACACATGCTCTAGATGTGTGTGTGTCCCCTTATGTGCCCAATCCCCCCATGTGAATCACAGCTGGCACACGCAATACATGTTCAGTGTCTGTTCTTTGTATATTTACTGCAGTTGTTCATGTATACCAGTAGTCTGATACAATATGTACAGTTTGAAAGGGTGTTAAATTAAATTTGGTGATGATTAATGTTTTTTGTGTTAAAAGCAGTTAAAACAGGACCGGTCAAATTTGACCGCGAACACCAAAGTAAGGGGGGGGGGGGGAAACGAAGACAATAGGAGGGTTCTAGATGTACCAACAACAACAAAAAATACGTACAGTCTGATATGACAAAATAAAATAACTTCAGAGAGTTGTGCAGGACAGTATTTCTCTACCCTACTGTTCCTCTTGTCTTCTTCGTTGGTTAGAGATAAGATACAGAAGAGTTGATTCATTATGAAACTTCGGCTATTGTGCATCCATTCAAACATGGCTGACATTTTGATAATGACGTTCATTTATATTAAGATGCCGTTATTGATAATATGATTAACTCATGACAAATAACACACTTTTAATTGATGACACGTTGCCCAGCGCGGAGCCTAGTGTGCAACGTTTATCTCTTTTTAATGGCCAATCATTCAGCTCTGGTTCAACGCTGTCAGGGTTTTATCAGGTTGGCGCTAACGGGTTCTTGGGCACGTTTATCAAGGGGTCTTTTATCTTAGGGATCTTTCAATATAGACTTAATTATCCCCAGTCATTTATGCTTGCCAGGTCATAGGTCCTTGTCGTACAGGGTCTTAAGTTTTGTACATGTAAGGGTTGCGACCACTTAATGAACCACGGAAATTACCCCACTGGCGATTAACAAAATATTGAAGAGCTGATAAAGAAGCTCAGGACCGTCCCCAAGGTACACATCAAAGCAGCTGTGCAGAAAGAAGGGAGTGTTGCTCAATTACTGGTTTCCCAAGCATCACTATCGGCCATTCCTCAAACTCCTCCACTGAATATTGACACTTCAATCCTGGCTGCTGTAACATGTCGAGCTTTTCTTTACATGTGTGCAAAGGGCTGAGTAAAAAAGTTTCCCTACATACCTTCTACTCTCCCTCCCTAAACCCCTTCCTCCCTACATCCCTGCCTA